AATGTGCTATATATAGCATAACACGCAGAACACTTGATGGCTGGAATAAATAAGATCTCCACAGGCAATCGTCTTCTGCCATACACGATCACACACCCAGGGCAGTCAGACCCCCTCTGCCATGCACAAAGTTGTTTACTGTCCCATGAGCTGTGTTTAACATTCCACTCCCAGATATTTATATTCAGAGCCAAATTCGGAGCAGTGTTCTGGAAAATGAGCAAAAGTAGGCTATGACCCATCAAGAGACTATCGGGTCTTCTCAAAAGTTTTCAAGCCGGTCTGGAATCCAGCATTTATTTTGGATGGTGGGAGGTTACTATAATTAGCTGCCATTCAACGTCATTATACAGTTACAAATGCAAGAAGAAACAACCCAGCCCACACTGCAGATGCATTTTTACCAAACTACAGCCTACGACATTCTGCAGCCCTCTGTAGAAAATGAGTTACCTCAACCATCGCTGAAGTGAACATTTGTGCGCTCAGGCCAGAAAAGCAATTTCCACCTTATGAATATGAATGCTACACCAGAAAAACACGGGCCGTCCAACCTCATGATATTATTAAACACAACATCTGCCCTAACAACGGTGTAATGGAGCGAGAAGCTACAGTTGACTTCAGCTCCCAGCCTGCTCACGTGCCAAATGTTGTTTTTCAGAGTTGCGCGGTGTAGCCAGTGCCAGAGATGTTCGTTTTGATCAAAGTCCATTTCCAAATACAAATTTGTAACTTATTCACGGGCACGTTCTTGCATGAATCAGACACGCCAATAAAATTCCTGTAAAAGTCCTCCAGAGCGGTTGTATCTTTGGGAGGGGGAAGGGAGGCGGGAAGGACTGTTTTTGTTGTTTCTTTAAAGCTTGTGTGTACATATACTAAAGGAAGGAGTTACCCCTGCAGTTTGTTGCATTATTTCGTGATGATCTTGAGGCTGTGTTATCCATGCCTGAAGCCAAGCTGCTTCTGGGGACTCTGACCGTGGAAAGACACTCATTGATGGTTTCAGGTGATCTGGACCAG